AGTGGTCTCTGGTCCCTGCTCCCTGACGACCCTATAAATGAAGACTCAGCCACTCTCTTCTCAAGGCACGAGAGAGCAGACGTGTAGAAAGGACACTCCCCAGCGTCACAGGACTCCCGCCCACCGCCTCCCACCGGGAGTCTCAGTCCTCGGGCGCCATGACCTCCTGGCCCAGGGCAGCGGAAACAGGCAGGGTGGAGGCCTTCCCCGCCCACTGTGGGTCGACCAGCTCCTGCGGAACCTACCAGTCCTGGGCATTAGTGGGGAAGAAGTAGCCCTTGATCATGGCGAACGTGGAGACAGCGTAGCCCAGGAAGTTGGCGCACCAGAGCAGCGGTATCCAGTTGTCAAAGATGATGGTGGGGGAGAACCAGGACAGGAGGTGGGAGTTGGCAAACCAGAGGAGATGCGTTATGAGCCAGGCCTGCAGGCCGTTGACCTGGTACTTGTTCACGGCGCCTGCGGGGAGGGCGAGACACATGGGAGCCTTCCCTGACCTGCACTGGGTCGCTTGGCTGCCTGTCCCTGCCTGGTCGAGGCCCTACTTGCTCCCTGGGTCCCCTGTCCAGGGAGCCTGGGTGCCATCCCAGAGGAAGCTACTTCCAGGTTCACCAGCCGAATGGCCAGGAGCACCCCTCAACTGCAGAAGGGAGGGAGGCCAGTCCTCTCCCTTGGCCGATTCTCCTTAACTGGCCACAACTGAGTCATGGGCCTGCGGTTTGTCAGGAGGGGCAACAGGCTCAGAGTAGGGCTGTCCCCATGGGTCCCAGGCTCCCCTGGTGAGTGCCCGGAGCCCGCCAGCCTCCCCCCAGGCAGGAAGCTCTGTGGGCACAGACAGGGAGGACGTCCACACCACATGCCCATGTGCAGCCCGAAGCTGGACTGAGTGGGTGTGGGTTGGGACATTCAGGAGTTAGGAGGCCACTCCATCGAGCTGCCATGGGAATGGGCAGAGTGTGGGGGCCAGCAGCCCCTCCTGACTGAGGAAAGAACTTCAGCCTCACATGGGGACAATGGCTGCCCTCTTCTGCCCAGAGGCCCGGTGCCATGGAAAGTTCCCAGTAAACTCATTCTCCTCATGAGTGGTCTTTGGGACAGACTTGGCTTGGGAGGGCCAGCCCGGGACATGGAGGCACAGGGCAGCCAGTGCCTGGATGCCACTGGCCCGGGCAGGGCCCAGGGTGTGGGCAGGTGGACGGGGGTACCTGCCGGGGTCACGGCCCCTTCTTGCACTCCTCCCACGTAGCCCGGCAGGAACCTGTGGCAGAAGTCGGGAAGCATCGTGTACAGAAGCACCTGGGAGACACAGTGCCCAGCCCAGTGACCGGCAGCCCACAGCATGATGGGGTGGTCCACTGCTGCGTCACCGGCAGAGCAGGACCTGGGGCTGGGGCGGTGCCCCACACAACAGCGTCTACTCCACAAGAGCCCTCGGCTCCCAGGAGCTCGGGCTGCAGGCCAAGCAGAGGTTCCGGGACCAGCACCCACCCTGGAATGCGCCCCAGACACCCTGACAGCCCAGCTACCCCGGGGACACTCTGGTCCTTCCTAGTCCCCTATGGGGGCTCAGGAGGCTGAGGCAGGAGGATCACAAGTTCCAGGCCAGTCTCAGCAACTTAGCAAGGCCCTAAGCAACCTGGCAAGACCCTGTCTCAAATAAAAAACAAAAAGGGCTGAGGATGTGGCCCTGGGAAGCCACCCTTCCTGGTGGCCTCCTGGATTGGGGGCCAGCGCCATCACAACAGAGCCAAGGACATCCTTGAGCAGGACCCAGGGGACGTGTTGGGAAACACTGGCCTGGCCTTCTGCTCTGCAGTGTCCACTGGGGGCTGAGACAGTCCCGCCTGTGGTCTGGCCGGCCCTCTGGCCTTGCTGTGTGCTCTGCATGTCACCGCCGGCTGGCACACTCCTGAGCCAACAGACGCCCCTGCCCCGTGTCTCCACCACGCCCTGCGGCGTCCCAGGAATGTGACTGTCCCGGACTCAGGACCCCACATCCCAGTCAGAGGCAGGAGAGCAGGACCCCCGCAGCGACCCCGGGCAGGGTCTGACCTGGAAGGCCACCCACGAGGTGTAGAGCAGGGCGGCTCTCGTGGTCACCGGCGGGGTCTTGGCCCAGATGTCTGCCAGGCTAGCACGGCCGGCGGCGATGTCCAGCAGGGGCGCGGTCAGCGCGCAGCTGTACTGGTCGCACGCCATGATGAAGTAGTACACGATGAAGGGCGCGAAGAGCAGCAGGAACACAACGCTGGCCAGGGAGAACCAGTCCACCTCCCTGCGGGAGGCCGGCGGTCAGCAGGCCGCCTCCCTGGGCCGCCGTGTGCGCCCTGCCAGAGCCAGCCAGCCGCTGGTGACAAGGCTCCAGCTCTGCAACCCTCCCGCCACTGGGGCGCGCTCCTCGGAGATGGGCAGGGCCAAGGGCACCCACAGAGCCCAGGGCCCTTCGTGGCCCCCACAACCTGCCCTGTCCCAGGCCAGGGAGGACGCTCCACCCCCACCCCGGGGCTCACACTGCACCACAGCAGGCCACCGAGGGCACGCAGGGCCCCGCTACTCTGCAGGAGGTGACAGGGGTTGACATCCCCATCCAAGCCCAAAGTGACCAGAAGCTGGAACTCAGAGGCGCGCATGGTGCCAGGTGAAAAGGTCCACCCCTGGCTCACGTGGCCAGTCGGCTCACGTGGCCAGTCGGCTCACGTGGCCAGCCGGCTCACAGTGCAGGTGTTACAAGGACTGTGCCAGTCACCCGCGGTCATGGGGACGAGGGGCCACGCGGTACGCGAGAAGCTCGGGCCACCGAGATGGTCCTGCTCCCCTGCTCCAGCCCTCCCTCACTGCCCCCTGGGCTGAGGGCGCAGCGCCTCAGGTGGAGGCCTGAGAGGACGGGGGAGACCTCACCAGGCGCGGCCCCACTGGCCCTGAGACGCTGCCTTGCC